AAGACCAGTCTTATCAGAAGCACAGCTTGCCCAAGGTCATCCAGGCAGGCACAAGTGGCGGAGTGGGGAATCAAACCCGGATCTCCCAGATTAGAGTCCGCGCACTTAACCACTACACCAAAAGATTCTTAAGAGTAAGGCTGAGTCACGAGCAACCAAGATCAATATAATTCATGCCATAGTACCCCCCAGTGTGATGTAGTGGTTAAGAGCGGCGGATTCCCCACTCCTCCACATGAAGCATAAAAAAGGAGGTTCTGTTGCTGAGAAAGTACATGACGACACATTTAGCATGCTTCATAATTATTGAATAACACTGTTATGAATTGGTGTATCCAGGCCCTTGTGCTCCGAGCGGAGGCAGACTTTGTGATGGCCCAGAAGGTGTACAGTATGGCTGGCAAGGCCCTTTCGGGACAAGCTGAGGGTGACCTTACGATGATGAGAGCAAGGAGTCCCGGACTGCAGATAGTCTGTAACTCAGACTGCTGAAGTCTCCCTGTGAGTTTGGCATCTCTAATATGTGAGGAGGCTGTTCTACCACCTCCCAAACTGAACAAATCATGAACTGGTTTGGGAAACAGCGGCTCAGCCTAAGCCAACCAGCCACATCTCTCCTTATATATAATTGAATAGTGGGTGCCAAAGTTCTAATTCTAAAATGCACTCCCTTAGTGTATGGCTGATGGCACTGCTCCTCAGCATATATCGCCACCAATCAGAAGGCAAAGCCCGGGTCCTGCCCACACCACAACTGCTGCGACAACCTGGTCTTTTGCATATGGAAGCTGATTGGACTTCACTCCATTCCACACCTCAAACTCCCCCCCCGCAAGGCAGTTGGAATGTCAGTTACATATGGAACCTGCTGTATTCTGGTGGTGTGCAGATCCCAGGTTCATGTTTTAAAAGCAGACTGCCACTGTTTGCCCAAAGCCAGAGCACTCTCCCAGAGCCTCTTTCTAGATCCCGTTGTATTTATTTCCACAACGGGCCTTATTTCTAGTATATTGATAAAGTTGTAAGGTCCTCAGTATGCTGATTTACAGGAGGTGGGCATTTATCTCTCTAGTGTCATAATACAAGTCCTTTAGCTGTAGTAAGGGCACTGAAGGTCCACTCCATTTTCATTGACCGTCATTTAGCCTCCAAGAGACAGGCAGATAGTTTAAAACTACATAAGCATCCTTCAAAATCAATGAACATTTTAATACAAAATTAATATGGGCAATAACTTGCTCCAA